GAAGAGCNGAGCAGTTTCCGATGAGATCTTCCCTCAGATCTCTCACGAAGAAACCTCTAAATGAGCTTGGGATATCTTGATGCAAGAATTCCATGGTGACAAACAGGTTAGAAGTGTCAAATTACAAAGTCTTCGTAGAGAATTTGAATACACTAGAATGAAGGATGATAAGTCTTTGTCTGCTTATCTTACAAAATTGTTTGATCTGATAAATCAAATGAGAAGTTATGGAGAAGAGTTATCTAGAGAAAGAATTGTGCAGAAAATGTTGATTAGTTTACCCTCAGTGTATGATCCTATATGCTCTGTAATTGAACACTCAAGGGATATAGATGTGATTGAGGTCCAAGAGGTGGTTGCCTCGTTGAAAAGTTTTGCACGGAGATTGGAGAGACATAGTGAGAATAAGACTGAGAAAGCATTTGCAAGTCTGTTAATCCTTCTGGAAATCGATATCAGAAGAATTGGAAACCAAAGTTTAAAAAGTGGGATCAAAAGCTTGCTTACCAATCGGGGAAGCAAATTGTAGCTGCAGAAGGTGGTAGAAATCCTTGCAAGCACTGTGATAAGTATCATTATGGAGAATGCTTTCTTAAAGGCAAACCTAAGTGTCACTGTTGTGGGAAATTAGGACATATTGCAAGAGACTGCAACAATAAGAAAAATGTTCAGCAGTTAAATTATGCAACTCAGGTTCCAACCATGTTCTATGTTAATAATGCAATTAATAAAAAGCCCATGGAAGATGTATGGTATGTGGATAGCGGCTGCAGTAATCATATGACTGGCAGAGAGGATGTGTTAGTTGATGTTGATAGAAGCATAACTGTAAAAGTAGAAATGGGGACAGGACAATTGGTTGATGTTGTTGGAAAAGGTAGTTTGGTGGTTAACACTAAGATGGGAAGGAGGTATATCAAATAAGTAATGCTAGTCTCTGGTCTTAAAGAGAATTTACTCAGTGTAGGACAGATGATGGAGCATGGATATATTTTCTGATTTTTGGAGATAATAAGGTTGAAATTTATGATGACTGTTCTTTATCAACTCTGATTGCTAAGGTGCAAATGAAAGGAAATAGAAGTTTTCCTTTGAAACTTCAAACAGGATTGCAGTTTGCTTTAAGAGCAAGTGTGGGTCAATCAACCTTAATCTGGCATAGGAGAATGGGACATTTTAATCTTAACAGCTTGAAGCTTTTACAGGGAGAAAGAGATGGTGTTTGGACTGCCGGAAATAAAAAAACATCAATGAAGTGAGTGAGGGGTGTATTCTTGGGAAACATTGCAGAGATTCTTTTCCAAGAGAGTCAACAAATAGGGCTTCAACTCCACTGGAATTGGTACACACAGATGTGTGTGGACCAATACAGACTATAACAAAGGCAGGAAATAAGTACTTTCTCACCTTTATAGATGATTGTACTCGGATGTGTTGGGTCTACTTTCTGAGGTATAAATCTGAGGTGTTCAGTGTCTTTAAGAAGTTTAAGGCTACTGTTGAACTTCAAGGTGGATATAAGTTGAAGAAACTAAGAAGTGACAGAGGATGAGAGTATATACATCTTTGGAATTCAACAAGTTTTGTGAAGAAATGGGAATGGAAAGACAGCTCACTGTGGCATATTCACCACAGCAGAATGAAGTGGCTGAAAGGAAGAACCGGACCATTGTGGAGATGGCTAAATGTATGTTGGTTGAGAAGAAAATGCCACTGGAATTTTGGGCTGAGGCAGTTAACACTACAGTATATATTCTAAACAGGTGTCCAACCAAAGCCTTGGTTAATAAAACTCCTTTTGAAGCTTATAGTGGAAGGAAGCCAGGAGTTAAACATTTGAAGGTGTTTGGTTCTCTGTGTTATGCACATGTTCCAGGACAACAAAGACAGAAGTTTGATTTGTCTAGCACAAGATGTGTATTTCTGGGGTATAGAAGTTGTGAGAAAGGCTACAAGTTGTATAACATCGAATTTGGAAAAGTTGTCATTTCTAGAGATGTAGTATTCAATGAAGAAGCAAGTTGGGATTGGAGTGCATAGAAGGAGTATTGTATTTCAGTTCCACTTACTGATATACCTACAGAGAAAGGAAAGAAGGCTGGTGAATCTGATTTGACTCAAACTGAGATTTCAGAAGATGATAATGTGATACAAGAAAATGTTGAAGAAATACATGTTAGAGATGGTGTTGTAAGACATAATGAAAGCACAGGTCCACAGGATTATGATCACACTCCACTCAAATATAAGAACATCACAAAAGTATATGAAAGGTGCAATGTGTATCATTAAACCTGAGACATTTGAAGAAGCTATCAAGGATGAATCATGGCAGAAAGCAATGGAGAATGAAATTGCAATGATTGAGAAGAATGATACTTGGGAGTTGATTAGTAGGCCATCTGATAAGCCAGTAATTGGTGTCAAATGGGTTTACAAAACCAAGTTGAATCTCGATGGCTCTGTGCAGAAAAACAAAGTTGGACTGGTTGCAAACGGTTATTCTCAAAAGCCTGGAATAGACTTTAATGAAACCTTTGCACCAGTTGCTAGACTTGACACAATAAGAACACTGGTTGCTTTGGCTACTAAGAAAGGGTGGAGAAAATTTCAATTAGATGTGAAGTCAACATTTCTAAGTGGGGTATTGCATGAAGAGGTATATGTTGATCAACCTCCTGGTTTTGTGATTAACAACAAGGAGGATGGAGTTTACATACTCAAGAAGGCTCTATATGGTCTTAAGCAAGCTCTAAGAGCTTGGTATGAAGAAATCAACTCTTACTTCACTAAGGCTGGTTTTCAAAGGAGTCCTCGTGAAGCAACTTTATATGTGAAGATTACCAAAAGTGGAATACTCATTTTTCACTATATGTGGATGATATCATTTACACTGGGAGTTCACAAGAATTGATGATGGAGTTCAAAACTGCAATGATGAGGTAATATGAAATGACTGATCTTGGATTGCTGCATCATTTCTTGGGTTTAGGTGTGATACAAACTGATTCTTATATCTTCTTGCACCAGAAGAAGTATGCACAGACATTGTTGGATATGTTTGGCTTCAAAGATTGTAAATCAATTGCTACTCCTCTTGCAGTGAATGAGAAGTTATCTAAGATGGATGGTAGTGAACAAGCTGATGAGAATCTATATAGGCAGATAGTTGGAAGTCTGCTATATTTGACTGCAACAAGGCCGGACATTATGTTTGCAGCAAGTTTGTTAGCAAGATTTGTGCATGGTCCTACTAGAAAACACATGGGAACTGCCAAGAGAGTACTTAGGTACATTCAAGGCACACTTGACTATGGTATAGCATATGAGAAAGGAAAAGAAACAATGCTTATTGGCTACTGTGATAGTGATTGGTCAGGGAGTGAGGATGACATGAAAAGTACATCCGGTTATGCATTTAATCTTGGCTCTGGTGTATTTTCTTAGGCATCAGTCAAGCAAAAATAGTGTAGCACTATCCACTGCAGAAGCTGAGTATGTTAGTGCAACAGAGGCCACTGCACAAGCAATCTGGTTGAGATTTGTTCTCTAAGATTTTGGTGAAGAACAGGTTGAGCCTACAACTCTTCTATGTGATAATACATCTGCTATAGCTATAACCAAGAACCCTGTGCATCATCATAAGACAAGGCATATAAACAGGAGATTTCATTTCATTCGAGATGCATTACAAACTGGAGAGATCGACTTACTGTATTGCAAGACTGAGGAGCAGGTTGCAGATACCTTTACCAAAGCATTGGCTAGAGATCGGTTTTAATATTTGACAAAGAAGCTTGGAATAATTTTAGCACAACATTTAGAAGGGAGTGTTGGAATATAAGTGTTTGTGCTAGTTAAATATATATTTACTGTGAGCCATTGGATTACATTCCAATTGGACAGCTGAGATGTAATCTCAGTTTTAATGATGTGTTTTGTTTCTTGTAACTATCTCATAGGGTAGATTACATGAATGGTTGAGATTGAATTGTAATAGAGAGTGTCTCTCTCCTCTTAAAAGTGTTATCTCTTGCACATGCCTTGTGTGCTGAGTATGAATGAAATATAAAGAAAAACATTGGCTCAGCTTGAACTCTCTCTCTGAAATTTTTCTGTGATTTTAGAATCTCTTCATCTTTCACTTCTTTTCGGTTTTGTTGAAACAGAGATCATAGTCTTTGGATTCTAACATAGTTAACTTCTTATAAGCACATGAAAAATCTCTTAATTCTCTGATTTGGAGTTCACTCTCAACAATTGCCTTCTCTCCCTCTGAATTTCGTAGCAGTGTTCACAATAACCAGTAGCCAAACACAAGACGGACGATGAATTGAATGGTGAAGGGTAGTGTTCGCGTCAGGAATTTCCGTTGGGGACGTTTTCCTGGCCGACGAGCGCACAGCTCCCCAGGAGGTTGGCACCGGTTGAGGGCTGCTGTCGGGCTTCGTCGGGCAAGTCTCGTCGGGCAAGTCTTGTCGGGCAAGGCTGAAAGAGAAGGACAGAGTTAACTTTGAGAGGTGCCTTTGTGGGGCCTTAGGTGTAGGCCTTGAGGCTCACAATCAAGGTTAACTTTTAAGTGCTCAGGCGTGCCACTGCCATCTTTCAGCATGGCAGATGTAAAATGGATGTCGAGTTTTAGTTGTATATATGTATGTATCCAAGAAAATGTGTTAGTTATAACAGGTGCCTTTGTGGGGCCTTAGGTGTAGGCCTTGAGGCTTCCCTATCAATAACTAAACCAGTGCTCGAACACATCATATTTGTTGCTCGTGATTGCCGGAGTTTTCTAACTATTTATACTTCTGATTACCCGAGTCCAAGAAGTAGAATGAACCCAAATAGGTGCCTTCGTAGGGCCTTAGATGTAGGCCTTGAGGCTTCCCATTCAGAGTTCATTCTTATACTTCAAACGTTCTAGATCGCAGAACGGAATGAATCCAAATAGGATGCCTTTCGTGGTGCCTTAGGTGTAGGCCTTGAGGCTTTCCCATTAGAATTCATTCCATGCTTCAAGCGTTCTATGGTAATCATAATATAATAGAAAGAAAGACTAAGAGGGTAAGTTGATTACTTGCGCCCCAAGTAACTTCGAACTTCTCGTTTATCAAGGACTGTCGTGGATGGGTTAAGTCCACATAAGGTTCTTTTTTATGCCTTGAGGCCAAGGACTTTTAACTGATCAGATTTACATGCCCGAGGGCTTAGGACTTGGATCTGGTTTGAACACTGACGATATATATTCAAATCGGATTCAAGTACTGAGAAAGCCTTTTAATAGTCATATTGCTAGAAATAACTTGCATATAACTGGAAGTATACAACATATTGCTAGGCTAATGAATGAAAAGACAAAAACAGCAAAGAAGGTCGGGCAAGGTTAAACCTTATCGGGTAAGGTTGCTCGTCTTGCAGGTTCCTATCTTTGTTGTTTTGTCAAAGGGTCTGAAAGTTTTTAGGAAGAGATAAGGAGAGAGAGATTACAAAGAGAAATCGATACTACAGCAAGGTTGAACAAGGGTAGCAGAGCTATTACAAATTGAAAAGGGTTTCCCAAGAGATGAAGGCTTGTCCCGAAGAGGGATGAAGGCTTGAGCTGACTACAGCTTTGTTTTGAAGGCAAATCTGGCTTTGAGCAGAGTTTGTGCTTGCATTTGTTTGTTTGATTGAGTGTCCTTATTCCTGGTTTCTCCTTCTTCTTATATAGACAACTCGGCTTAGCTTCCTGTAGCAGCAGCCTTGCCCGAATGCAGTTTGAGGGTGATGACTCATCGGCTTTTTTACATGTACTGCCATCATAAAGTACTTTATGGGCTGTGTAGCTGATCAGTCTATACCACTTGGCCTTTGGGTAGGTAAGCAAGTGGTCTTCATGAGCTGCACCAAGTCAGAAAAGGCCTTTTCTGCCTTCTGGGCTTTGACTGGGCTTCGGCTATCTTCCCTTTCGGGCCTTCTTTTGGGCCAGCTCCTTTCTTGAGCCCAAAGTTAACTTTTAATCCAAACACCGTCGATGTTGCAAGCAATGTCGTATGGTGGGCGTGGAGGGTCGCGAGAGATGTGGGTCGATGCCTGCCTATTTGCCAAGCTAGCTGTCCCACATCCCAAGAGAGTGAGGAGAGAGATGTTTGTATGGTCAAAGTTGGAGTAAAAACGCTGCTATCATGCGTTTGGACAAGAATTGTCTGCCCTCCCCCTGCCCTCCTGTTTTGTGTGATCACGGTTAAGTCACGTTAACATTTTATATTATTTTTTTTATAGG